TAATCCCAGCACTTTGGGAGGCCGAGGTGAGTGGACTGCCTGAGCCCACAGGTTCAAGATCAGCCCAGGCAACTTGGTGAGACCTCAACGCTACAATTAAAAAAAAAAATTGGCCGGGCTCGGTGGCTCACAGCCTGTAATCCCAGCGCTTTGGGAGGCCGAGTTGAGTGGATTGCCTGAGCCTGTGGGTTCGAGACCCGCCTGGGCAACTTGGGAGACCTCATCTCTACAATAAATCAAAAAGTAGCTGGGCGTGGTAGCGTGTGCCTGTAGTTCCAGCTACTTGGAAGGCTCAGGCGGAAGGATCTCTGGAGCCCAGCAGGTCGAGGCTGCAGTGGCCAGGAATGGCCACTGCACTCTAGTCTGGGTGACAGAGTGAGACTCCACCTCAAAAAACAACAAAACAAAACAAAACAAAACAAAAAATATTAGGCGGGCATGGTAGCATGTGCCTGTAGTTCTGGCTACTTAGAAGGTTGAGGCGGAAGTATCACCAGAGCCCAGCAGGTCGACCCTGGGTGACCACGAGCGTGCCATGGCACTCCAGCCTGGGTGACAGAGTGAGACTCCAACTCAAAAAAGGTAGGGTTTCACTCTGTCATTCAGGCTGCAGTGGTATGATCACAGCTCACCACAGCCTCGATTCCTGGGCTCAAGTGATCCTCCTTCATCAGCCTCCCAGTAGCTGGGATTACCGGGTGTATACCACCATGTCCAGGTAATTTTAAAAATTTTTTGTAGAGATGAGTTCTCACTTTGTTTCCCAGGCTAGTAAAGGTGCTCTTGTTCAGTTATTAGTTGTTGCATGTTGTGCCTCTGGAAAGTTATCCTTTGTCATCTTGGATAATTGCATTGTTCTTTGTTAATAAGAAATAAGAGTAGCCGGGCTCAGTGGCTCAGCCTGTAATCCCGTGCCTTGGGAGGCTGAGGTGAGTGAATTGCCTGAGCCCGCAGGTTCGAGACCCACCTGGGCAACTTGACGACACCTCATCTCTACAATAAATCAAAAAATTAGCCAGGCGTGGTAGTGTGCACCTGTAGTTCCAGCTACTCGGAAGGCTGAGGCGGAAGGATCGCCGGAGCCCAGAGGGTCGAGGCTGCGGTGGCCGGGAGCAGCCACTGCACTCCAGTCTGGGCGACAGAATGAGGCTCCAACTCAAAAAAAAAAGAAACAAGAATGAGCAAGGAAACTGTGGGTTATAAATGGATGTTGGTAGAAAATGCTGTGAGAGGTTCCACAATAATTGTTTCCTTTTGAACTTTCGTTCTAGGAGTCGAGGATGGCCAGACTGTGAGGATGCCTGTGGGAAAAAGAGAAATCTTCATCACATTCAGGGTAGGTGCTCCGCCCTGAACAACTTCCCTTGGACCCTTCCTTGCTCTCTCGGGGTGGGTGTGGGTGCAGCTGCTCCCATGAGGTTAGAGCTTCATGAGATCACATTTTGCCATTTATATTTCCGAGGGATGCAATGACCACCTAGATGTGGGTGTTAGCTATTGTTACTGTAAGGTTTTATGCCTACTTTGGAGAGAATAGAACTTCCTCAAGATGTTTATAAGTTAGAAACAGGACACATAACAGTACAGAAAACATCTTGTGTTTTTACTTACTGATCAAATTGTTGATAGGGGTAGTAAGTACTAAAGGTACCTTTTTTTTTTTTTTTGAGTAGGAGTCTTGCTCTGTTGCTTAGGCTGGAGTGCAATGGCACGCTCACGGACACCACAGCCTCGGCCCACTTGGCTTAGGTGATCTTTCCACCTCAGCCTACCAAGTAGCTGGAAGTACAGGTGGATCTTTCCACCTCAGCCTACCAAGTAGCTGGAAGTACAGGTGTGTGCCACCACACCCAGTTAATTTTTGATTTATTGTAGAGATGAGGTCTCACCAAGTTGCCCAGGCTGGTCTCGAATCCCTAGGCTCAGGCAGTCCTCTCATCTCAGCTCCCAGAGTGCTGGGATTAGAGGCATGAGCCACTGCTCTCTATACTTTCTAATAAAGTAAGTTTTTTTTTTTAGTTCAAAAAGCCAATTTTGCATTTTTATTTCCTTTCACATTGGATGGTTTGCTCGGAAACAGAGGAGATTGAGGCAGTCTTCCTTGCAGTACACAGATGTGTGGAGCTTGTTGCTCCCAAGTCCTGAGGTGATGTTTTTCTCTGGGGCAAGTACAGTTCTTTCTCAATGCTGTGCTTTAAGATTAGAAGGGGTACAAGGTTTCTCAGCCCTGAGCTCAGCCCTGGCAAGGCACATGGCTGGTGTTTAGTCTCCAGTGAGACTTCACTGGTGGGTCACACTCATCTCTTGTGTTTGGTCTTAGGTGCAGAAGAGCCCTGTGTTCCGGCGGGACGGTGCAGACATCCACTCTGATCTCTTTATTTCTATAGCTCAAGCTATTCTTGGGGGGACAGCCAGAGCCCAGGGCCTGTATGAGACAATCAACGTGACGGTAAGAGGGTGCAAAAACATCTGTCACCCCTGTACTTCATTGCTCTTTTTCTGAAATGGGAAATGGGTGACAAGTGGCCTGGAAGCTGTGAGTGACCAGACTGCTGGGGGGACTCCCAGGGGAGGGCATGAGGAATTTTAGGCTATTGCTTGGATGTGGATCACAAGCCACAGACCTCGACTGTATAATTGCTTTGGAAAGCAGTTCCTGGCTGGCATTCACTCCTGCACCGATTAGTGGGGCCCAGGAACTGGCTCACACTTGTGACACAGAGATGTGTCACCCTACTGTGTGTACCTGTTGTCACCCAGATCTGGTTATGAGAGCAGACTGCGTCACATTCCCTGTGCCACAGTGCGTAACTTGCTTTGTGCCGCACTCTCATCCCTCCTGCACCTCCAGTTCATCCCACTCTTTACCTCAGGGCCTTCTCTGTCCTCTCAAGGAGATGGGCATTGTGGGTAAGGGCTCCTGCCTCCATCTGGGGTGCCGTTCTCTGAGCTTCTCTAGGGTCCTGTGGGATCCAGCTCATCAAAGGCCAGGGAACATTCTCTAGGGTCCTGTGGGATCCAGCTCATCAAAGGCCAGGGAACATTCTCTAGGGTCCTGTGGGATCCAGCTCATCAAAGGCCAGGGAACATTCTCTAGGGTCCTGTGGGATCCAGCTCATCAAAGGCCAGGGAACAGCCTTAGGCATTGACCATGTATTGGCTTTTCCTGCTCCCACGTCTCGGTCTTGGCTCCCTCACTCCTGCTTCCTAGATTCACCTCCCTAGAACTCCTGCCCCTGGTTCTCGTCACAGGGTCTGCTCTGGATGGACCCCATCTCAGCCCATTTCCATGTGATCGTTGATAGACTTGGTCTAGAAACCCGAGTGAAAGTTCTCCTCAAGGAGTTCCTTTCAAGATTGTCTTTGTGTAGTAAAAATGTTTTTATTTGGGCAAACCACACATTTCATTTCTCTATAGATCCCCCCTGGGACTCAGACAGACCAGAAGATTCGGATGACTGGGAAAGGTATCCCCCGGATTAACAGCTATGGCTACGGAGATCACTACATTCACATCAAGATAAGAGTTCCAAAGTAAGTGCTAAGGTCTCCATCTGTAGCATGGACATAATAGAAAGGTTGACCTCATGGAGTTGACAGAAGAATTAATGAATAGGAAATGCTTAAGTATTACTGATTTCATTAATGTTATTACTGCTCTCAGGAGCAGAGCATAAATAGACGAGGAGAGACCATCTGGGTAGAGTGCTGTGGGCACCCAGCGTGTGGTGTTCCCGACTCCCTTTGGGAGACTGGGTTTCTGGCACACGTCCTTTTTGTCACCTTTTTTTTTTCTTTTTTGAGTTGGAGTCTCACTCTGTCACCCAGACTGGAGTGCAGTGGCCGCCCCCGGCCACCGCAGCCTCTATCTGCTGGGCTCCAACGATCCTTCCGCCTCAGTTTTCCAAGTAGCCGGAACTACAGGTGCGTGCTACCACGCCCAGCTAATTTTTTGATTTAGTGTAGAGATAAGGTCTCGCCAAGTTGCCCAGGCGGGTCTTGAACCCACGGGCTCAGGCAATCCACTCACCTCAGCCTCCCAAAGCGCGGGATTAGAGGCTGAGCCACCGAGCCCGGCCCTTTTTATCACTTTAATTAGAGAATTTCTTACCTGCTTCACATGCACACTTGTAAATCCCCCCTCCCACTTCTGCCCCCAGTAAGCTATATTTAGTGTAGCCACAGTGATTTGTTTAAACAATTTAGGGTATTTTAGGAGCTTTTCTTTCCAGAAGTTTCAAGGGCATAAAACTCAGGTTCTCATCACTGGGCTGGGTGAGTGCCCCTGCCTGGGTCAGGAGTCTCATCTTTCCCATGCATTGTAAGGGGACTGGCCACATGTGTGTCCTCTCAAGTTGCCTGATAGAAGCACTTGGCCCCTGACTGTGCTTGGTCCATAGGAGGCTAACAAGCCGGCAGCAGAGCCTGATCTTGAGCTATGCTGAGGACGAGACGGACGTGGAGGGAACGGTGAACGGTGTCACCATCACCAGCTCCGGTAAGGGGTCTGGAGACCACATGGGGGCCTCAGAGTCCCTCGGAGGGTGGACGATTCAGAGTAGCATGTTGGGGTCTCCACTTGGGGGTCTTCATGAAGCTTCCAAAAAGCATAGTTCAAAGAGGGGAGCTGTCAGCAAGAGCAGCTGGAGTGGAACCCAGCCCTAGTGCACACTTCCCCTGCTCTCTGCATGTCAGTGTGCTGAGGTAAAAGCGCTAGGCACATCCTGCCAGGCAGCTCTGTATGTCTCAGAGCTCGCGTGCTGAGTTCTATTCTTGGTTCTGCCACTTGCCTTGTGACCTTGGGCACATGCCTCCATGAGAGTGCCTGCAAAAGCTTAAGCAGAGGATGGATTGGAACGGTTTGTGTATTCCAACCCAGAACGCTTCACCAGGATTTCCTTGTCTTGAGCAACAGCAACTGCAGCAATAAAAACCATAATCAAAGGATGCCATCTGCCTGTTCAGAGCAAGACTAGCTCTGGGTTCATCTGGCAGTGAGCAAAGGCCTTATCTACCCTGAACTGTACTGTCATGTTCTGTGAGTAGCGTGTGGTTGAGCACTAGTGATTTGATACTAGAGTGCCTGCTGCCGACGCTGTGGCAAGGGCACCGCAGCTGCAACCCCTCTTCCCATGGGAGGTGAGAGCTGTTGATTGGGACCCCTGCTCTGGTCAGGGCCAGTTGTGCGTGGGACCATTGGCCCTCAGGCTTCACGGGTTTCCTCCTCATTGCATCATTTTGTTTTTGTGTGGATCTTGGGTGAAGTTCTTAGAATCCAGTTGGACTTAGAGTCGTGTATGGTGACTAACACCAGGTGACTCACTCCAGGTATTTGGAGCTGGGGGCAGGTGAAGTGGAGGATTTGGAGCTGAGAAGCAGGGCCCTGGTTGGGAGTCCCGGCTGCAGCAGCCTTTGCATGGAATTTCACTGAGCTCCTGTTGAATCCAGGGGATCAAAGTCCGCAAACCTTGTTTGTAGCAACCAGGTACCCAGTGACATTTACTTTAATGGTTTGGTAAATATGCACTTTTCTTTTTTGATATCTCCCCTTGCCAAGGTCATAATTCAAAACTTCTGTCTGCTCTCTCTTGTCTTAGGAGGCCTAGGAGTGATGGGAAATTTCTGGTTTTTGGATTTTGTTGTATTAGGAGAATCCTGTTTGTTGTTAAAGCCTTTATATAAGAAAAGGGGATGCAACCGGGCTTGGTGGCTCAGCCTGTAATCCCGCGCTTTGGGAGGCTGAGGTGAGTGAAGTGCCTGAGCCCACGGGTTTGAGACCTGCCTGGGCAACATGGCGAGACCTCATCTCTACAATAAATCAAAAAATCAGCTGGGTGTGGTAGCACGTGCCTGTAATTCCGGCTACTCGGAAGGCTGAGGTGGAAGGATCACCGGAGCCCAGTGGGTTGAGGCTGCAGAGCGACAGAGTGAGACTCCAACTCAAAAAAAAAAAAGAAAAGGGGATGCAAAGGACTGAGGGAGGGCACACCTGACCGTGCGACCTTGTGGCAGTAGGGTATCCTTCCTGGGGTCCTGCAGTGGCGTTGTACGGGGCCTGGTCCTCCTCTGGAGCCCTGGAGCTTGGATGGCACCCTAGCGGCTTTGATGATTTCCCACACTTGTTCAGCATGTTCTTGCTCTGGTCACCATTACTACTCTGAGGATACACCTGAGCTCTGAGTGTGTGCCAGGGCAGAGAAGTAGGCTGCAGTCCCATGTCCTGGGGACATGCAAAGTGGGCACTGATGTGCTGTACCCAAGGGACCCCAGCCCACCACTTCTCAGGGCCATGTTGCTGCAAGCTTTGGGCCTCTCAGTATGAAGGTAGTGTCTTACTTAGACCGAGACTTTGGGCGCTGTGACCATTCTTTACTCTGTTACATGCTGTCTGTGGCATTCCTGAACATTTATAAAATGTGCCCTACAATTAAAGTGGCTCAAGTCTGTAATCCCAGACTTTGGGAGGCTGAGGGGAGAGGATTGCCTGAGCCTGTGGGTTCGGGACCAGCCTTGGGCAACTTGGTGAGACCTCATCTCTACAATAAATCACACAATTAGCCAGGTGTGGTAGCGTGTGCCTGTAGTTCCAGCTACTTGGAAGCTGAGGCAGAAGGATCACCAGAGCCTAGCAGGTCGATGCTGGGGTGGCTGTGAGCGTGCCACTGTACTCTACCCTGGGCGACGGAGTGAGACTCCAACTCAAAAAAAAAAAAGTTGCATTCAAGACTGTATTTTAATTCATAACAAAGGTTTGCCCTCCTCATCTAGTGGTTGGCAGATCTTTAAAAATAGCAGATTTATGCAGTAAAGTTCTCAGTAGTTGCAGCCTTGATCTTAAAGAATCAGCAGAACAGCCTCCCTTGATCTGGAGTGTTTAGAGTTAGGTGCCTCTGATGGGGAGAGCTTGCTCAGTGAAATAGAGACTCTTGTGGATATTGTTTGAGACTGAGACGAAGCGCATGCATTTGAGGCTTCTGCGTGGCTATCCTGGAGACATACGCAGCACAGAGTCTGCTCACTTGGTCTAGAAATAGGATCTTTTCTTGGTGGGCGTTATTTATCTTCTTGCAGCCAATAGCATGGTGGTGAAGCGGCTAAGGTTTGGAGTCAGACTGCTTGGGTTTGAGCTCAGTCTTCCTCCTCCTTGTGGCTCTGTGACCTTCGGTAAACCACTTAGCCTCTGTGCCTCCATTTTTTTGGTCTGTTTTTTCACCTGTGAAATTGCCTGTGAGGTTATCCTCAAGATTGAATGAGCCAATGTGGGTAAACCATGTGGTCTGGCCTAGCACTTAGCTATGTTTTTGTTATTGTTAAGATTAAGAGACAGCTGGTCATTGTCCATCTCTGTTGTTCCCTGCTTGCTGTGGATCCATGGCTCAAAGACCAATTGGGATACCCTCAGGCTCTGAGTGGCCTGTTTGGTTTGGTCATTTAACAAGCAAGGCGGACCTTGTCAACTTGGGAGTGGCCCCCTATCTTTTTGGGGTGGCACTTGGTCACTCTTTGAGTGCTAGGACCCCTGGGCGGCTAGGTGGGGGTAGGTGGGGTCTGGGACGTGGTTCGTGGAGGTGTGTGTCCTTGACCCCAGTTCTTTCTGCTGTTTGTGCCCAGGTGGCAGCACCATGGATAGCTCCGCAGGAAGCATGGCTAGGCGTGAGGCTGGGGAGGACAAGGAGGGATTCTTTTCCAAACTTAAGAAAATGTTTACCTCCTGATATCTCTGCTGAGGTAGGAACACCCTAGAGGCTTTTCCCCTGTGTTTGATCGAATTTGTATGATTGAATCCCTGTTTTCTCTCTCTTTAACCAATATTGTAGCCCCGCCCCAGGAGTTGGAAGAGGTGTCAGTTTAAGGCGTGGTAAATCTGGCTCTGTTTGTAGCCAAATCTCTCAGCCCATGGAAACAGATAATCGTACTAGTCGAACAGTAGTATAGGACTGAACCAGGCTGCGTGACCAGCCTTTTGCTGTGTCTCTTTTGCTGTGTTCTCTTTCTGGAGAGCTGTGTTGGGGACTGAGTCATAGCCCTCCTTACACCAGCTCCAAGGAGCTCTGTGTTCTGCAGAGGTGGGACCAGCTTGCCCACGGTCACAGAGGGTGAATTGTAGCAGAGCCAGGCCTAGAACTCAGATCTCCTCAACTTCCCACCTGTTTCACAGGTGCCTGGGCAGGCAGGGCTGCATAAACCTGGGAGCTGCTGCCAGGAGTAGTGTGTGCTCACTGTGGTGTCTCAGAGCCCCCTTTTATTTATGCCTGTATCTATTCCTGTGGCTGGGACTCTTGCCCCTCTCCTGGCACAGCTACTTTCAGGGGTTCGCAGAAGTTCTCCCACAGGGTGTGTTCTGCTGGAATGTCGAGTACACTGTAACCGCTTGTCTCCTTGGCTCAGGAAAACGATCCACCGGAAACTAGGCTGGGAAGCAGCAGCCCTTCCTCGTGGCTGGACACCCGGGAGACAGGAGGATTTCAGAACAGCAGCATTGAGCGCCCGCCTGCAGGGCCTTCTGGACTGCTTTGGCAACAGCAAAATCATGTGAATGTTAGTACATCTTTCCACGGAAAGGTCACGAAGGGCAGCCCCTGAGCAGCAAGATGTAGCACCGGGAGGCCCAGTGGAAGTTTCCTGTCTGTGGGTAGGTGACTCAGCCTCTTCTGGCTCAGGCAGAGGAAGACAGACTCTTCTTGCAGTGCTGAACATCTAATTTGGTATCAAATGTGGTAGAGATCTTAGGAAGCAAATTAAAGGCCATGCTTACAGCTTAGAAATGAAGCCTTAAGCTGCACCAAGTCATGAAGTGATTAATTTCCCTCTCAGCAACCTTCTGGGAGGTTCCAGAACGAGTCCTTCCTGACGAGTTGTCTTCTCCAGGAACCTGGGGCCCCCAGCCTACCCCAAGGCCATCTTCCTCCTGATAGGTGCTTGTCGAGGCATCACTTGCTCTGCTCAGAGTTTGTAATTCCCTGAAGTACACACAGCTGTGGAGTGGTTGTTTGGGCCTAGGGAGGCACTCGCGGAGGCCTGGAGAGTCCCGGGAGTTCCTGCTTCTGACCACATAAGCAGTGACCTTTGTAAGGACGGACAGTTCTTTCTCCCACTCCATCCAGGAGGGCCGCCTGTCCCTGAACTGTCGAGTCCTGCTGTTCTAAGCCAGGTGTGGTGGGCTCCTGCCCTTCTGTTGAGCCACAGCCGGGCAGGGCAGGCTTCAGCTGCCTTGGGAACTTGGAGCCCTGCCGCTGTTGCCAGCCAGGGTTGCTTCTCCTGCTTACACTGTTGACATCTGCTTTCTAAAGTGTGTTTAAATTATTCAGTGCTAATCATTGTCTTTTCCTGTGTAAATGTTCAGAAAGGGAAGACATAGGCTAAGCAGTTGAAGGTTCCCCCCGTTCAGCCAGAGCCAAGCACCCCCTCCCCAGCCTCTGCTGGTAGCACGCTGCGGTTTCGGAGTTCAAGACTCTTAAGCTACTGTAAGATAGGTGAATGAAGAACACTTCTCAGTAGTTTCCTTTTTGTTTTCCTTTATAATTCACTAAAATAAAGCATCTGTTAGTATCTGATTTAGGAATGTAAAATGATTCTGTATTAATGTAAATATTAAGATTATCTACTGCAAAAAGATACTTAAAACCTACGTTTAGTCATTTATTCTTCGAAAGCATTCAGAAAACCTGTGTGTGGCTTAGCGGGGGAATACGCTTTCCTTGTCACATGGTCATGCCCACCCAGAACCCATGCACACTGATGGAGCTGGGATGCTGACAAGTGCTGACCCCCACTGCTCAGTTCCCAGAGCAGGGTGCTGGACATGTTCTGATGTGAGTAAATGTTCTAGAATTTGGGTGTAACTTTTTCTCTGGGAGTCTGTGCTGTTAGAGATGTACAGTGCAGCTTCAATAGACCCATACACATCGCTATCTTCCTCTCCAGATTTTTTTTCCACCTCTCTCAATTTCAGAGTCTTTGCATCTTTTAAAGTCAGGATAATAATAAATACTGTGTACTTTATATCTCCTAACTTAAAACTCTGCTTACTTATCATGATACTCAAGGGGTCACAGTTGGACCAGTCAGGAACATAAAGTGAACTGGGTCTACATTCACATGGCCGACGGCATGGCCTACAGCCTCAGTGCCCAGGACACAGTAAGGAGCACTGTAGACAGGAGCAGGGGCACTCCTGGGACTTCAGACCCAGTGCTGCCAGATATTCTGGTGCCTTCCTAGAGAAGCCGGGAGTCCAGATTTCTAGAAGGGGATTTTAGTTACCTTATCTTTCTGGTAACAGCTTTGTTGAAGTATTCTTATACTGTATGATTCACCCATTCAGAAGTTTTTAGTTCACAGTTGGGTAGACATTGCCACAGTCAATTTTACAACATTTTTATTATATCATAAAGAAGCCCTGTCCCTAGCAATCATTCCCCATTCCCCCAGTCTCTGTCAACCACTCGTCTACTTTCTGTCTCTGTGGATTTGCCGATTCTGAATATTTCACATAAGTGGAATCATACAGTATGTGATCTTTTGTGTCTGGCTTCACTGAACATAAATTTTTTTTTTTTTTTTGAGTTGGAGTCTCACTCCGTCGCCCAGGCTGGAGTACAGTGGCACGCTCACAGCCACCTCGGGTCGACCTGTTGGGCTCAGGTAATCCTTTTGTCTCAGCCTTTCTTTCTTTTATTTATTCATTTATTTATTTATTTATTTGTTTTTGAGTTGGAGTCTCACTATCGCCCAGACTGGAGTGCAGTGACCGCTCTCAGCCACCACAGCCTCGACCTGCTGGGCTCTGGCGATCCTTCCGCCTCAGCCTTCCAAGTAGCTGGAATTACAGGCACGCGCTACCACACCCAGGTAATTTTTTGATTTTATTGTAGAGATGAGGTCTCGCCAAGTTGCCCAGGCGGGTCTCGAACCCGCGGGGTCGGGCAATCCACTCACCTCAGCCTCCCAAAGGCACGGGATTACAGGCTGAGCCACCGAGCCCAGCTAGCCTCAGCCTTTCAGATAGCCAGAACTACAAGCGCATGCTATCATGCCCCGCTAATTTTTGATTTATTGTAGATATGAGGTCTCACTAAATTGGCTGGTCTCAAACTGGTGGGCTCAAGTAATCCACTCATCGCAGCTTCCCAAAGTGCTGGGATTATAGGCTGAGCGATCGAGCCCAGCCTTCTTTTTTTTTTTTTGAGTTGGAGTCTCACTTTGCTGCCCAGACTGGAATGCAGTGGCCGCTCCCGGCCACCGCAGCCTCGACCTGCTGGGCTCCGGCGATCCTTCCACCTCAGCCTTCCAAGTAGCCGGAACTACAGGCGCACCACGCCCGGCTCATTTTGATTTATTGTAGAGATGAGGTTTTGCTGCCCAGGCGGGTCTCGAACCCACGGGCTCAGGCAATCCCTTCACCTTGGCCTCCCAAATTGCTGGGATCACAGGCTTCAGCCACCATGCCTGGCCCCCAGCTAATTTTGTTTGTTTGTTTGTTTTTTGTAGAGGTGGGGTCTCACTGTGTTACCTAAGCTGGTCTCAAACTCCTGGGCTTAAGCAGTCCTCCTGCATCAGCCTCCCAATGTGCTGGGATTACAGGCATGAACCACCACACCCAACCCATAATTTTTATGCAATGTATATTTTACAGTTTCTAAAATAAAAAATAAATATTGGCGACTAACACATTTCAGGGACAGAATTTGAGACCAGGCACACATGGTCCATGAGACTGAGACTTGTGCTGGGAACCCCTCAACTGGTGGGGATATTGTGGTGCTGGGAGTTGTCCCATGTGGTGCCGACCTGGGCCCCTGGCACCCTTGCCTCCGGCCACCTCAGATACTTTCTTGCCATGGTTAGGCATGACCAGTGCAGGAGCCCAAGGTAGATGCTGGCCAGCACAGGGCACCTTGATGTCAGCATCTAGAGTGGAGGATTGGTTATGATCAGGTGACAAAAGGGAAGCAGGTGGACACAAATGTCTATTTCAGGTCGCATGGTTCAGTGTGGATAGACCATAGTGCGTGGCGCCCTGGAGAGTGCTGTGCACGGTTCCGTCCACCTGGTTAGTTTTGGAACACAACAGCTGCTTCAGCCACGTCTGGGATGGGAGCTGGTGGATGCCACCCTTTAAAAGGGACACAAGCCAGGCTTGGTGGCTCAGCCTGTAATCCCGTGCCTTTGGGAGGCTAAGATGAGTGGATTGCCTGAGCCCACGGGTTCGAGACCCGCCTGGGCAACTTGGCGAGACCTCATCTCTACAATAAATCAAAAAATCAGCCGGGCGTGGTAGCACGTGCCTGTAATTCCGGCCCTCGGAAGGCTGAGACGGAAAGATCGCCGGAGCCCAGCAGGGCGAGGCTGTGGTGGCCGGGAGCAGTCACTGCACTCCAGTCTGGGCGACAGAGTGAGACTCCAACTCAAAAAAAAATAAAAAACGAGGAACACAAACACTGAAGAGCTAGCAGGACTTTGACCACATGTGGTGGATGAGGGGAGAAGGAACTTGGGCAGGCAGCGGTGGGTATCAGACAATGCTTTGCACAATGGCCTATCTCGTGGTGTCCTCAGGACCCCCCAGCCAGGTAGGGACCAGATGAACACATAGGCCAGGAAAGGGTTGGTGATGTGGTCCCGGCCCTGCCACTTATAGGTGAGGTGCCAGCTGGATCCCAGCATCCCCTCTAGGCCTGGATACAGTGGGCCCATCCACGCCCAGGTGGTACTGACCCTGGGCACATCTAGGATTGTGTTACAGTCATGCCCAGGCTGGGTGTTTACCACCTTTGGGCTTGAGGGACTTGGGCATCAGGTGGGGCTGGACATAGATGGCCTCTCGTGTTCTTCCTGGAAGCCCACGCTTGTCACAGCCTTTCTCTTAGACTGCGTGGGCTCAGGAGATTCCTTCCGTCGGCAGACCTCGGCTTCCTCCTCCAGGAGCCTTCCTGTCCTGCCTCAACAGGCCTCTTCCCATTTGTTGTTCATTCCTCCTAACTGTTCTGTTCTTTGCAGCCCTTGTGTCAATTTGTAACTATTGATCATGAATTTCTACCTGGCTCTCCCGCTAAATAAGCTCCTCAAGGCGACACTGCTAAATTATCAGAGATAAACTTCAATTTATCAACAAATAGACTGCCTTTTCGTGCCTGAGGTACCAAGGCCAGGATGGGGTAGTACAAAAATTGTGATGGTGGTTACACAAACCCATGCATGTGTTAAAATTCACAGACCTGCCAGATGTGGTGGCTCATGCCTATAGTCCCAGCCACTCAGGGTGCTGAGGCAGGAGGATTGCTTGAGCCCAGGAGTCTGAGGCTGCATTGAGCTACTTCACATGACACTCCAGCCTGGACAACAGAGCAAGACTGCAGCTCTTTAAAAAAAAAATTCATAGGCCGGACTTGGTGGCTCAGCCTGTAATCCCAGCACTTTGGGAGGCCGAGGCGGGTGGATTGCCTGAGCCCGTGAGTTCTAGACCAGCCCGGACAACTTGGCGAGACTTCGTCTCTACAATAAATAAAAAATCAGCCGGGTGCCATAGCGTGCACTTCTAGTTCCAGCTACTTGGAAGGCTGAGGCAGAAGGATCACCAGAGCCCAGCAGGTCGACACTGGGGTGGCCATGGGTGTGCCACTGCACTCCAGCCTGGGTGACAGACTGAGACTCCGACACAAAACAAAAAGTTCATGGCTGGGCTTAGTGGCTCAGCCTATAATCCCAGCATTTTGGGAGGCTAAGGCAAGTGGATTGCCTGAGCCTGTGGGTTCAAGATCAGCCTGGGCAACTTGGCGAAAACTTGTCTCTACAATAAATAAAAATTAGCTGGGTGCGGTAGTGTGTGCCTGTAGTGCTGGCTACTTGGAAGGCTGAGGCGGAAGGATCACTGGAGCCTAGCAGGTTGACGCTGGAGTGGCCATGAGTGTGCTACTGCACTCCAGCCTGGGTGACAGAGTGAGATTCCAATTAAAAAAATTTCACAAGCCGGGCTTGGTGGCTCAGCCTGTAATCCCGCGCCTTTGGGAGGCTGAGGTGAGTGGATTGCCTGGGTCCGCGGGTTCGAG